AAAGGCAACATTAGCTAAAGAATTCAGTAGTAAAGTTCACAAACACAAATTCATACAAACACTTGAAAAAACTTTTTTTTTTCCCACAAATGAGCTTGTAAATCACCCAGATTCATTGATCTGCATGTCCATAGGAAAAAAAAAAAAGGATCATAAATACCAAAGCAAGTCTGAGATGAACGCATAGATGTTTGAAAGCCCCTATTTCTTTTCTGCAATATTTGTCCTACTGTAGATAAGAAAATATGTTTTTTCCTTGAAATTCTCTGTGTCAATAATGAAGGTGATGGATGTTTGCTTGAGGCATCTATTTACCATTCTAACAACAAAAATAAAATGGGTATTGGTAATTTTATGCAGATCTCATCCCTGCAACTTTCCTGAGTGTTGTGTTCCGTACTTCTGTTCAGCTCTTTGGAGAGCTCATTCTGCTGAAGAGAACCATGGCTTCTAATGAGAGCCTTCTGCAGATGCTTGACTTCTATAAATCAGTCATTAAAGCCGTATTTACATAGCTGAAGGTCCAGCCCTGGAACTCTATCAAGACTAAAGCAGAATAAACAGATGGCAGACGACTCGTGATACAGAGCTGACACACCCAGGAACAGGACAGCTGTACACCACGGAAAAAAAACAGTTAAGTGGGTTGGGAATCATCCCTTCTTTCTCTAGATGTCTGTGAGAGGCTGTCTGTCACTCATTATCTCCTCCACTGGCTACTTCATGGCACATGGATGGCTGCTCTCCCATCTTGCATTAACATGATTTTATGCTACCTATTTCAATTACTCCCCGCATAAAAATAGTATACATGTATAATTCAGGCTGTGATCCAAAAGTCCACCCCCTTCCTGACAGGAGGATTAATCTTGGAGAATACCTCATACTTTCAGATAATTCCACTCATTTCTCACATTTCCCTCAAGTTCTCCCCCTTCATTTTCCCCCTCCCACACACGTGATGTTGAGGGAAGGAAAAACGGGTAGGAAGGAGGGCAAGATTCCCTTGTATCAGCTCAGGGAATGACAAGGAGCCAGATCTTCTCCCACGCTGACTGGCACACGGCAGCTCCAAGAGAACACAGTCTGCCAGCTAAAGGGCATGGCCAGCCCCTTCTCTCAACTGCCATCTGCAGCACGTACCGGCTGGAGGTGCACACTGCTCAATCCTGCGGGAACTGAAAAAGAGAGGATACACCACCATTTATCTCTGCTGGCGTCGTCATCTTCCATTCTCCAGAGCTCGTCACAGCAAGATTTGGCCCCGAGGCCTCAAAGCCTGCTCCAGAAGCCCTACACCAAACTAGAAGTTATAGTGTCTGTGGCAAAGCTGGGATGCTGGTAGCATACGGCACAATGGCTTTTGCTACAGCACTCACTGACAACACCAGCTCCCTCTTCCCCCTTGCATGCTCTGTTCCGTTTATGAACCTGAGCTAGGGACATCATTGTTACAGCTCAGCCCTGCAGTCCTGTCAGATGCAGGTGAGGAAAACCGTATCAGACCACAGAAAATTCTGATCCAGGACCTCTGCAAGTGGTTGCATCTATCACAGTGAATGGAAGTAGTGTGTAATTTCAAGGCTGTTCTGCAAAACCTATTACAAGTAGATGGGCTAATCAAACTTTTTTAGGTTGTATTTGGTCTGAATTTCAAGTTTTGGCAAGGCAAAAGTTAATACATGCCCCAGGTATGAAAATTTCCTGAGTCTTTTGTAACACATATGCAGAGAGTAATTAAAACCCAGTTTGCAATTCATCTTAAAACCTGCAGTTCTGGGTTACTACACAAAACCCTGAAAATTAACCAACTGAAAAAAATAAACTGACTATAAACAGAGTGGAAGTGTTATTTGTCCTGTCCCAATTGAGTACTACTGCAAAACATAAATAGCATAAAGGAAAAATAAACTGGATATCTAAAATTCTCAGTTTTCACCCTTGTAGATGACTTCCATAAAATAGGAGAGATAACTAACAGAAGTAGTGGGCTTCAGATGCTGAGAGACTGCATGCTTGGTAGCCTGCAGCAGAGCACCCATTCTATGTGGATATCACTGGTTTGAGGTACTGGGCACTAATAAACACGTCAAATGCACCGGTCTCCAAAGCACTGAAACACTTTATTTGGTACTGCCCTTTTTCTTTACTGTATTTACAGCGGCTTCTGAACCTTTATTGCAATTGCACTGCAGAATCTACACTTGAATGACAACTACGTGCAAAACAGATGAGGAATAAGTTCAGGGACTGAAAAACAGGGAACTTTCATTACCACCTAAACAAGTCACACTCTCCACCTAAGCAGGCAAACTATACAGCAATCCTGTGAAACATCATTTGAACATGTTGTAAATCTGAACTACAGGAATTGCTGGTAATTTTGCTATTTACTTCACTGGGAAAAGCAGGCTCACATCCTAGATATGAGTACTTCACACCACTGCAAATATTATTTATTTTACAGGTGTTGCTCAGTTCATCGAGATGGCTGAAGTGCAACAATGCACAAGATCTCTTTTTACCCTGACTATTCCTGCCAGTAGATTTGTGTTCCTCCTGTTTCACCTCGTGTGTGGGCTATGTGATATACGACAGGATATGGCTGAGATTGTAAATAGCTTTATTCTAGCTGGCTATATTATCTCTGAGTAAATTTTCTATCAAAATGCATTCAATATTAGCAGCTTCATTAAGAGAATGGTTCATTTATATACGGAATAAGTGCTATGCTTTGCATACAGAGTTTGGGATGCATCTCCAAAACAATGTTTTTTGCTAGTCTGTGAGAACACCACATGAAAGGATTTATTCTAATTTGTAGTTTGTTTGTTTTGCTACTTTTGCAACAGAAGATCAGGAGGAATAGTGGTATAGACAGCCAGAAACTACCGCTGAAATCAGCCCATCCAATGGAAAACAAGTTAAAAAAAGAATTCTCCACCTGTTAAAAAAAAAAAAAACAAAAACAAACAAAAATTAAAACCATTTTGGGCTGGTCCAGCCAGTTGGTGATAAAACAACCAACTCTCAAGCTTTCAAGCCAGCATGGACTGGGAGCCCTATAACCCTGCTTTCAGAAAGGAAGCGCTGTCTGCTATCATTCTTTACTGATGCCTTCCGTGTGAGGGAAAGCACACCACTGGTGACCTCCAGCAGCCCTGCAACAGCAGCCAGAGAAGAGCTTGAGGCAGATAACCACACCTCAGGCCAGTTATGGCACGAGGATAGCTTATGGAGATCTGCCCTTCTAGGATGAAGAAATAACACTAAGGGTTTTCTAGTGTGCTGTGAAGAGCAGCACGGTATAAAGTGTAAGATCATTCAAATGAAGAAAAAGGGTATGGTAAGTCAGTTTTTTTCTTGTACATCTACAGTGAAGAAGTAGTGTCTGCAATGTCAGTGGAAAACTACATTCACTTTGAAAGCTCTGGCTTTGAACATCTCTGAAGATGGTGGGAAATTGCTAAATAACCTAAAACCCCATGAAAGCACTCAACCAGAGCGCTTCTGCCTGATTTATCACACCAGGTTCCTCAGGTGGCTGCCCACAAGGGATGTGAAAACAACACACCTGAGCATGCAGCATTACGTCTGCAAGCACATATACGGATGCTGACCTTTCCACAGGAAAATTCTGAGGTATTTCAAAAGATGGAAGTTTTCCTCTGGAATACATCTGTAGGTTCAGAGCAAACACAGTGGAATAGCAATGGCTTGTACACATTGCACACAATATACCACTCAGACCTAGGTAATACTTTAATCAGAAAAACTTTAAGAATTCCAGATTCACTGAAGAAGTAAGCCACCTGAAACACATGAAGCAGGTAAGGGCTGGGCAGTAGCGCTTTAAGAGCAGGGCAAGCTGGAAGATACTCCCGTACCACAAGGAAGGTTTCTGCAGTGGCCATAGTAGCAGAAATGGTGGCCAGGAATGGACTATGAGAGACTTAAGGTATGGACTAATGGTTTTTGTTTAGTTGGGGATTTGGTGATTTTTTTTTTTTTTTACATGCAATTGTTTTGCTTGAAGCTAGAATGCTTGTATTTTGCCTTGTGTTACAGGTGCCTTGGTAGTGTTCAAATTCCAGGCTGCAATTGCAGTATGCAAGTATCTCCTAATTAAAAAGGAGGAAAGGGAAATCTAGAAGGGATTATAGCCATGGTTTAGGGATGTGTTACCCGAGTCACTCACTAGGGACTTCATATTGAGAAACTGTGAATCCCCAGTTTCTCCGGACATCAGTTCCTTACAGTAACGGTACAAAACGAACATTTTTCAGGGGTCGTCTTAGGAAACTCGGGAAGAGGGGCTCTGAAAGCTCGTCTCTGCTGGTGAGCGATGGGGTCACTCTGCGGCTTGGTCCTCTGACCAAAATTACCGTTCGCAAGAGCCCTAACAACTGAAGCCCTTCCCCGAAGCCCCAGGACGCCCAGCCTCGGGCCGTGCCCCGCCTGCAGAAGACGGAAGGGGGGGAAAAAGGGGGGGGATGCTCAGCCCCCGGGTCCGGGGACCGGCCTCTGCCTCGCTGAGTCACACAGAGAAGCCCCCCGGGCGCGCCGCGGGGCCGGGCGGCTGCCCCCCGCCCCGGGCGCGGCTCCCTGCCCGCTCTCCGCGGAGAGGGCTCCGTCCCGCCGCGGCGCTCCCCTCGTTGTTTCCCCTCCACAAAAAAAACACGACGGCCGCGGCGCAGCCCGCACCGCTCCGCGCTGCGCGGACGCTGCCCCAAGGCGGGGGGGGGGGGGCTCTTCGTCACCCCGCTTCCCCCCGGGGACCGCGAAACTCTCCGCCGGGGCGGCGGGGCTCGCTGCCTCCCTCCTTCCCTCCCTTCCCGCGGCGCCGTCGGGGAAAGTTGCGGCCCCGGTGAAGCGCGGGGGGTGGGGGTGGAAAGCGCACCCCGCCGCCGGCAGACCCCCGTGCGGAGAACCCGGCCCGCCCGTCCTGCCTCCCTCCCTCCCTCCCTCCCGCCGCGCCCCAGGGCTGCGGCGCTCCTTACCCAGCCCCGGCACGAAGGTGTTGAGGAAGAGGCAGATGACAGCCACGGGGAACGGCATGTAGGGGATGGCAGCGCGCAGGGGGCCCTTCTTTTCCCGGACCTGCACCACCACCCCGCTGGAGGGGGCAGCGCCCCGGCTGGGCTCCCCGGCCGCCGCGCTCTCGCCGTCTTTGGGGAAGGGATCCATGGCCGGCGCAGCGCGGCGGTGCCCACGGCGGGCTCCCAGCTGCCGCCGCGCGCGCTCCCGCCTGCGCGCGCGCCCTGGCGCGCCCCCCTCCCTCCCTCCCTCCCTCAGCAGCGGTCCCCTCCCTTCTTCCCGCCCCGCCGATCGCGCTCCGGTCAGCGCCCGCCGGTGTCCCCCGCCCCGCCTCGCCTCGCCTCGGTTTACCCCGCGTCACCGGCGGCGCCGGTTAGCAATGCTCTCCCGCCCCCTCCCCTCAGGGCCTGAGGCGGTTTGAGCCCTCGGCCTCGTGCCCCGTCTGTCAGTCAGGCTGCCCGCGTGCCCGGCCCCTCAGGCAGCGCCCGCCCGGGGCCGGATCGTCCGAAAACGGCGGGGCTGCACCCCGGGCCGCCCCCCCCCCCGCTCGCCCAGACCCGCCTGGGAAAGTGAGGAGGGGGCGAGGAGGTTTAGTCTGTGGGAAGAGGAAAAAGCCGTTTCGAGGTGAGAGAGGGTAGAAGCTGTGAAAAAACAATGCTCTGTGCGGTTTTTAAAATAGCTGCGCTTAGAAGGTGTAAGGAAAGGTGTAAATTAAACCCACACTCGCTTATTGTTTGAAAAAGCCTCCTGTAAGGGGGAAGAAGAGGAAAAGGGAGGAGAGCCACGAGAATTAAAAGGAACTGAAGAGAAGAATAAACCCTTGAAAATCTAATCGCGGTTTGGGACAGTGTGAGAATGTATCTTGATTCACATCGGTACCACTAGATGAAATACCCTTTTGTAGGACTGGTAATTATTGTTCAGTACACAGTTTAATGGATGAAGTGGTAATGGAACTTGAACGTGTCTGTAGTTAAAAATGATGATGAGGCTGGTCATTGCAGATAGGGTTCAGCAGAGAAAGCTGGAAAAATACTAAAGGCGTTAATCCTGATATAAAATGTGTGACCCACGCACAGGATTTTTGCATAAGAGAGAGAGGGTAGCCTGTGTCTCGTCGTGCATTTTGAAGCTGTAGTTTTGCAGAGGAGTTCGTGCTAGGAATTCAGACCCCAACAGAAAATCTTTTAAGTACTTTAAGTATACCGCTGGAATGCCACCTGGAAAATACATGATTCAACAGTTTAATCGATTTCAGTACAAATTCGTACAATGAAAAAGTTAGGTAAACTAAATGATAGAGATGCAGAATCCTATTCCTAGGATTTTTTTTTTTTCTTCTAATAGCTGGGTTCTGAATCATAAAAACAAAGACATCCCATGTAAAATCTCTTATTTTTAACAGGTTTTCTGCTTATCTTCCAAGTTCCTTTTATCAAAAAAAATCTTCTGACTTCTTTTTGATTAAACACACAGTTTATATGTGTTTCTGGAGCATATTAGCCAGCCTGGCTTGGCTTTTTTTTTTTTTTTTTTATGGTGACATCTATTTCTATCAAAATAGTTCATGACAGCCTATTATATCCCCTAGACACAAAGCTATTGGAGGGCAGCACCTTTCTCCTAGAAAGATCTGATGTAAATTACATGAATTCTGTCTGTCTGTGCTGGTTGATCAAGCTACAGTCAGATGAGAAATCTTTATGGTATGAATATTGACTGCCCAGGGCCTGTCCTAAGCAGAATCCACAGCTTGAACACTCTCAATAACTTCAGTGTTTCAATTCTCTAGACTCAACCGGATGATGAACTGATAAAGATTCTGGAAATTGTGTGTAGGTGAGCCCACATTATCTACCCTTAAAGCAAGCAAAAGGCCATGGAGAGAATAGCCCAAATAGAAGATCAAAGACTAAGATTAATTAAAACAATATTTTGTCAGAAATACTTAATAACAGGTTGTGCTTTTATGGAACATTTCCTTGGAAGATCTCAAAGCATTTGATAAATGTGAGTTAATTAATTTACTACTTCAAGATTAGTTGGCAATACATAAGGCTTACTCTACCCGCTATTAAAATGCAGCCACTTCTAGACTGAACTGCATCATTAATTCTGCGCTGCCAGTGTTCATGGAAGTTCTCAGGTGCCTAAGGCAAAAGTTATGACTGACTTGGAGTATATTAGAGATACCGTCGTGTAACACGTTGTGACATTTCCAAGCTTCTCTAAACAAATGAATTGGTGGCAACGTTAGTCTGCTGTGCTTGTTCCATGCTTCTTGAGTGGTGCGTGATAACCATGCAAACCATCTCATACTGAGCCTGTGTGCTGCATGCTTTACTATTGCTCAGGAGACAAGAATCTATGTGCTTGAGAGCTTGTGAGGAAGGACAGCTGTTAACAAAAAATTATGCTGGGACCTAGGTAAAAAAATATGACCCAGCACTGAATTTTTTTGAGGAAAATAAAATAATAATTTATAAAAAGTAGTAATATTTGTACTAATAATACTAAGATTTCTTCAAATCTGATCTTTGAAATATTCATTTCACTTCTCAGCATGAAAACAGCTCACAGAACCGATACTCATAACACTGTTTGTCTGCATTTAAGACAAAAAAAGGGTACAAAACAAAACCAGCCTGAATTCATGGTATTGTTTCCAACTGCAGAACTCCCCTGGCAAAACACTGTAGCACCAGTGTATTGACACACAGGACTGGGAACACATCTTCCCCAAGCCTTCTCCAGCCTTCTCTCCATAGTAGTGCTGCAGGAGGCAAGCGTGGTAAAACTGAAGACCAGCATTGCAGCTGTGCCTCAAGGGCGGACACTTAGTAGTCTTAAGAAGTTGAGAAACCTTAATCTCTGGTGAAAAAGTAGGCATTGTAGTTGGCCCAGATGGCAACAGGACTGCAGGACCTCTTGCAGATGGGTGGGCCTTCCACAATGTTGTAGCTCTTAAAACCAAAGAAGTCTGACTTCCTCTAGTCCTGAAAAGAGTACCTATAGTTGCCAGGTCCTCGATGAGCAAGCATGACCAGAGAACCTGTTTGTGAAACAGATGTGTCCCCGGTGCTGTCAAGACTTAAGATGGACCTTCTAATTGACAGACACTGGTCCTGTTGCAAAGCCTTTGTGGTGGGTTATACTGCATGTGGACGTTGCTGTGGGAAGCATGTGTTGGAGCTTTGATCAGTATCCTGAGAGTTTTATGTGAGTCAGGCCTGGAGGAGTCCAACATGTGGCTCACGGCCACCAAATTCCCAGAGGAGGTTTATCTCCTAGATGAGAGCAGAAGGCATTTATGTCATGGTCACAAGCTGACTTTCAAGGACCTGTGTTATGTTATTTTATAATGGGAGATTTTCCCTTTGTTGTGTTTCCACAGCGGATAAACAAGCTGTATTTCAAATATTTTACAGGTATGGACTTTTTTACTTATACACTAAAGGTTGAAGGAAGTGCTGTCAGGCCAAAGGGAACTTCAAGATTAGCTGGTTGTATGAGTTTGCCTTGCTGTTGTAGAATAACTTTTTTTTTTTTTTTTTTCTCTGCTTGTACTAGTATTTAAGTTGTTCTTATGCAGTCAGTGGAGAATTAGAGATCTGCAAAAGGAAAGGATGGTGCTTCTCTGTTACAATGTTCTGAGCACTTGGCACATGGCAGTTTGACTCTGACTTCAAAAGGGAGAAAAACTGCAAATTGAATACTGATGACATACCTAGAGTAAGCAGGGGTCCATCTTTTTGAAATACATCCCACTCCCAAGCTTGGGTCCTTTCCAAAGCATGTTAAGAGAGATACAAAAATAAACTCAAACACAAATCAAATTAGAAGTGTTATTAACAAAGACAATAAGGAGCCAAGCAGAGCTACTGCTCACTAACACTCCCCTGGGGGCAGGAGGAGCCCTGGAGTCTGCACTCCAGTTCACCACTGTAAATCCAGCATTGCTCCACCTATTGTAACTGAAATCAGTTTGGTTTAAGGAGTTCAGCCTTCTCCTAACAGAAAAGATCAACTAATTTCATTCATGTGCAGATTAGAGTTAATTGAATCACAGAGGTGACAGTGTCATTAGCACATCGATTGTATCAACTGAAATTGGGATTGGGGAGTCCTGTTTCTTCACAGAGACAAACATACCTCTGTGAAGATGAATGGTTTATTCGTTAAGTGCCCATGTAGACTCTGTTCTGATGGGACTATCATGGCACTGAGACCTCATAAATTGTTTCCATCTGACAGATGTCAGTCATAAGAGGCTGGGTTCGACTTGGTGGGTTCTTCCTGGTTCAAATGAGAGCTAGACTTGCTGACCTAGTGCATGGGTATATACTGCGCACACAAGACTCCAGACTAGTTTTGTTACAGACTTCAGAGGGGCATAAAAAAACTGAAGTGTATTCTTTGTGCCTAACTGGCACTGATTCGAGTGGGAGCAATAGTAGCTTCATATTTGTTAATTCATCTGTTGCATAAGTTTGTCAAAATAACAGGAAATGTTACTCTTTCCATCGATTTCTATTAGCCCAAGACTTTTAATGGTGGCATTTGCAGCTGTATCCTGCTGTGTCTTGACAGTATGTGATGCTACCAAGAAATGCTTTGGACTCCAGCACAAATCTGTTCCCCTGGCTCCTGCCTTCCTTTCCAGCTTTCAGTTAAAGCATCCCTTCATCTTTACAGCCTGTGCACAACCAACTGCAGTCATTTCTAGGAAGTATGAGGAATGTCAGCACTGACAGTCCTCATGTTTTAATGCACATAGCTGTCTTCCTTTCTTCCCAGATCACAGAGTCTATGCAGTTGTTCTTCCTCCAAAACAGCTTTGGACTGTTATACATCGATCCCACATGTCTGTGCCAGGCTCTGTAACATCTCCTAACCTCGCCCAATGTGAACTATATAGCTCATAGAGAAAAAATCCACAGTAAGTAAATCCTCCCATTATAGAAACTGGGAAAAGATAGTTGGGAAAAACTGTCCCTGTCATAACAATGACAAGATAGGTGAAGGAAGAGGACAGGCACTAGAGAAACAGTAGGCATACTGGGGTGGTCAAAAGCAATCTGCAAGCACAAACTTGTCTTCTCCCACTCCCGTTCTAAGTCAGGCACTCTTGCCCTGAAAGTAGAGCGGATATCCCAGTCACAGTGGGTGCAATTCCCTGTGTAAGGAGCCCAAACAAGACAGCATCCATTAAATACA